AAAAAAAAAAAATGAAGGTAGTAAACGTGAGGAAGAGAAAAAAAATAACAAACATGCATTCCGTAATTCTGCTAGTGTTGTCCTTTTTTTTGTCTTTCGGACGAGGAATGGATTATTATAAAAGGCTCGGGATTAAAAGGAATGCGAGCAAAGAGGACATTTCAAAGGCATATAGGAAGCTAGCCAAAGAATATCACCCGGATGTGGCTCCAGATAAAGAAAAAGACTTTATTGAAATTGCAAATGCATATGAAACTTTGTCAGATCCGGAGAAAAGGAAAATGTATGATATGTATGGAGAGAATTACGCAGATGGAGCATCCGCAGGTGGGGAAGGAGGACCAGGAGGTTTTGGTGGAGGTGGTTTCCCTTTTGACCAAGACGTTGTGAATGAAATATTTAGACAATTTGCAGGAGGAGGAAGAGGTGGAGCAGGTGGCCGTGCAGGTAACTTCCACTTCAAGTTCACCTCAGGTGGTGGAGGAGGAGGAGGAGGTGGGTTTCCAAATTTTGGTCATCACTTCGAAGATGAATATGAAGACATATATAAAAATGAAGTGTTAAAAATTAACTCTCAGAATTATGACAGAGTAATAAACGACATTAGCTATTCCCTGGTCATAAATTTTTATTCCCCTTCATGTTCCCATTGTAAATCGTTTAAAAAAAAGTTTTTAAAATTTTCAAAAAAGTATGATGGGTACTTAACATTTTCTGTAGTGAATTGTCAGGAGGAAAAAAGCATTTGCAGAAAATATAACGTAAAATCTCTTCCACACATTATTTTATTAAAAAAAAATAAAACATATGCAACTTTTTATGGTAACAGAACGGAAGAAAATTTAATCACCTTCATTCAACAAAATATTCCCTATGTGTATACAGATATTACAAGCCAAAATAAATTGGATTCCTTTTTGGTAAAAAATGTGGAGACACCAAAGGTCATTTTTTTCATCTCATACAACGACGACGTAGTAATGTTGAAGGTGCTATCCAAGGAGTTTGAAAAACGAATTGACATTGGTATCATTTACAGCTCCAATTATACCTTAATGCAACTTTTTAATAAAAGAAATGTGAAGACTCCGTCCATGTTGCTTGTAGAAGATATCGATAGCCTGTCCGGGGACCTGACCTTTTTGAAAAATTTTGACTTCAACATTTTGTCCATCAAATTGAGTCACGTCGTTGCACAGAATAGGCTCAAAAATAATTTGTATGGACATGTCACCTCCTACCAAGAGTTAACTAAGAAAAAATTTGAATCGGGTCAGTGTCAGGAGAAGGACTCACAAATTTGCTTCCTCATTTTGAAGCTGCTAAAAAAAAGTTACCAAAAATTCGATGAGGATATAAAAAATGTCGCGGGAAAATTTTCAAAAGACCCCCTCAAAATTATGTACGTTAATGTATTTGAGCAGCCGCACATTTTGGACTCCTTCGGGTTGGTCAATGAGTGTAAACATGCCGACTGCCTCTTCCTGGTAGCCTTCAGACCCAAGCGCCAGAAGTTCCGCCTGCACGACGGCGAGGTCAACGTGCAAAGCGTGCACAAATTTGTGGAGGATGTGGTCAGCGGAGGAATTTCCATCAACCAGGCGGTCAAGCGTGGCCTACGCTTTGTCAGCGCGCCACACTACACGGACGAGCTGTGAGTTGGGTGACAAAAAGGAGGGGAGGCAGGGTGCATTGTTACCCTGTCGCAAATTGCGTTGCGCTAGCTTTTAGCCACACCTGTCCTTCCGACAACTACCCCTCCCATTTTTTTTTTAAGCCCACTCCCTTGTGTGTATTGAGCGCAGCACATGGTGTGATGTGTTTTTTTTTTTTTTTCTCTGCTAGCGATTTTGCCCAAGTGCGCATGACCAAACGCGCGACGGGTGGAGAATTGCACCCCGTGAGCAGCACACTGAGGATCGCTCTGATTCGCATCGTAAAAGTGAAGGTCATCCTGTATGAGTGCCGTTCACATTGCTGTGTAACTAACGTGTGGTCGCCACTGGACAGGCGACTATGTTGGTCCACCACTTCGTCATCTCTACCTTCTCCATTGTTTTTTTTTTTTTTTTTT